CAATGAAAATATGGCAGCACAAATTATAATATAGCTGGCCACCACATTCTAAATATCCTATGAGAACACAAGCATATGTTTCTTTTCATATTTACAATCATCTCCCTTCTTTACGTCACCTATACCTACTCACCTAAAGTATTATCACACACATCCGCCTTCAGCAGACAAAAAGACATGTTGTTTACAGGTAATGAGGAACTTCTGGATCCACACTGTAATCATCTGGCTACAAAACACTAGAATTATCATGTTCAAGTTTAGAGTAATTGTATGGTCGTCTCACCCCTGTGTTTGTAACTCTGTATTATGGTTTGTTCTACCATTGTATTTATTAAGCACTGCACAGGAGCTTTTCAGCCTTCCTAAAAAAAGCCACTGGACCAAACAGGACTCTGTAGCATGGACTGTGTATGTACCTGTCTGGTTGTGTGTCCTCGGCTAAATGCTTCAGAGTCGGGTACAGGTCCATAAGACTGGTGGGTTCATCCACTACTTTCCCAGCTGCCAGTCTGCCAGGCCAGCGGAAAATACCAGGGACTCTTATCCCACCTTCCCAGCCCCCCATAGCCTTTCCACCTGAAGGTGAGAAAAATGAAACTTTTTTCAATAAATGCATTGAAAACAAAACATGTTACAAATTTCATCTAACACAGAAAGATCTGAATGTTTGCATGAATATATCAAGGATTGCAGTGACTGCCTGTAAAAAAAAAGTATGAGACATCATCTACCTTTATAAATACTGTTCCATCCTCCTTTCTGGCCAACCTTTGAGTCAGCATCCTCGAGGTGCCCTCCGTGGTCTGACGTAAAGTACATCAGAGTATTGTTGGCTAGCCTGAGGGAGTCCACCGTCTCTGTCAACTGTCCTGGAAAATACATTATAAATGTATACCACACAGCATATAAAATATATTGCATTAGAGACATTTGGTTAGGTAATTCATGATGTGAGGGAGTTTAAACTCCATGGTAAAAGTGTAATTCTTGTCCAGAGAAATCAGATGGGGCAGGAAATACAATCAGATACAGTGTAAACAAGCTTTCCATTTGGCCACTGTGTGCTGAAAGGTTTGTAAGATTCAACACAACAGTTGAAACAGAAGATGGGGGCCCCACTAAATGATGTGAAATGTTTCTCCATAGTTTCAAGTGTAAAGGTTCACTACTCTCAAACTACCACTACAATTCATGACCGTGTTAAAGGTCCAGTGTGTAGGATTTAGTTGGATCTATTGGTAAACTAATATGATATTCATAATTTTGTCTCTTTGTTTTAGTAAGTATCAAGTGGAACTAAGAATGAGATCTTCATATTTTCATAGGGAGCGGGTCCTCTTCCACGGAGCCCACCATGTTGCACAGCTGTGTTTTTGCAGTAGCCCAGAATCAAACATTGAACTTTTGTGTTTTTACTTTAAATGATTGTCCTGTTTGGTAGTCAGTGCAGGTCCTGTTACTTAGAAATGGAGATGTGAGGCGAGATGTATCCGGTTGCAATCTGTACCCTCATCACTCGATGGCACTAAATCCCACACACTGGACCTTCGAAGCCTTTGCATCACAGTCCTGACTTACCGACGAGCCAGTCCATTTCTTCTACGTTGTCACCATAGCGACCATGGCGGCTCCTGCCAGCAAAGGGAGGGTTTTTGAAGAGTGGTATGTGGACATGAACTAATGAGAAGAACAGGAGGAAGGGACGATCACTATTCCTGCGGGGGAAGACGTAAAAGTGAAAAGCTCATCAGATATGAGAGTTGTTTTAAATGTTAATAAACACAGGGATTGCAGTTCATTTTAAGTCACATAAAGATATATTTTATTGATAGATTTAAGACAGACTAACACATTTCTAGTCTGTTTCTCAGTCTATGTTTGCATTAACACTGTTGCTGTCTCCCTGGTCTGAGCAATTTAAATAGTAATCAAACCACTGATAGTGTATGTAAAAATATGAAACTGCTGTTATAGCAAACTACCCACAGTACTTGCATTTTTTTTCAGAAGATTAGTTTTTTTTTAAATTAATGTTTGCTGGCTCATTCCCACCTCTTGATAAAGTTTTGTGCTTCTCCCAGCAACCTCTGGGGCAGCGTCTCCACTGTCATTGGCTGATCGACGACGTCTTGGTTCCTCATAACGATGCAGTTCCAGGTGGGTAAGAGTTTAAATGGCACATACCACACAGCAGTTGCTAAGATACTTAATGAGAAAAGTGCAACCAGGAGCCACAGGCGGAGATCGAGGAGGCCACACACACGGACACACACCTGAAATGATGTCACACATCCACAAATATAAAATGCACTGTCATACAGTATACAACGACATATGCATATGTAACTGCCTGCAGTGTGTGACTCTTACACACTAACTGAATTAATGGTCATGCCATTTTCATTCAGTAAAGTTACTACTAGACTTAAAGGTTCAGTGTGTAAGAGTTAGGTGAAAGAGGTTTATTTGCAGAT